TTATCATGTACACGTCAGAGGTGGATTTGATATACAGGTACACATACATGCATACATGTACACATGTAGACAAAAGGATGCTGAAAGAAATAAGTATTATTTGACAATATGAACAGTTTTAACAGCTCTGAAATAGAGAATGATGAATAAATAATAAGTGGTGGCCAGTAAACAGGTGGCTTAATAGAGGCAGAGTTATTGGGTTATTGCGCAGGATATTTCATCCGTTCATCAGACTGAGTCTGTTGGTTCTGGCGTACAGTGCTCTGATCTTTTTCAGCATCAGATACAAGCAGCTCAGACCCTAATGGAACAGTTTTAACAGACTTTAAGAAAACTGAGTTAGTTTGCAGAGGTCCGTTCAAACCAGAACTGGATTTTTCTAGAAGAGCTTTCTATTCAGGCTTTAAGGTGAGACAACACAGTCACATAGGCTTTTTTCACAAATTTAGTCATATTATGATACATTTTACAAGCTGACAACATAAATAGAAGCTTCTTTTGAATTACATTTTTTTTATGTATACAGTTCTTTAAATATGCAAATTAGGTATTTTCTCATTAATAATGTGCTAAAAAAATAATCTAAGGAAATGGATTTGTAAACAAATGGATTTTGGTTTTGTAGGGATTATATATCGAATGTGCAAACATTTACAGTTTATCAAAAAAAAGGTTTTTTTATGGATTTCTTGAAAATATGCCAGTCAAATGTGTGATGGACCATCCTTTTCCACAATCTTACAGATAAAATGCCACATAGGAAAGTGCAGACTGAAGAAGAAATGGCTCATAGAGATTTCAGGAAATAGTATGAAATGTTAAAGTGAAAGATTAATGCTACTCGGTGATGTTTAGGAGGGGCCATAGAATGAACCTACACATTTTAGGTTCTTTATTTAGATTTTCTATTAGCCATATAATCAATCAAAATCCAAATATATGAGTCACAATGCAATATATGAAATTATGATCATGATATTGCGTACTGTAGACATACAAGCAAACAACACACACAATTTTCTCTCCCTGCAGCTCTCAGTGTGCAGCAGCCTCTGTGAGTGTCTCCCTCTTATTGGCAGCAGCTGCAGCAGGTCAGTCACAGTGAGCCAGTTCCAAACACTAAACAATCTTTACATCTTATCATGGTCACATAACAATTGTTAAGTCTCAGATCACCTCCAGCAGTATCAGCAACCGCAGGAGCAACATTCCCAGCAACTGTTCCAGTAAGTTATGTCAGCCCACAATTTTTTAAAGCTAGAGCTGTGAAGTCCCTACAATCTCATGATACAATATGTATCACGATACAGGGGCCATGTTTACCATGTCCAACACAAAGTTTACTAAAACAGCTGTTCTTTAATATTCTGTATAACAGAGAAGAAAAGGCCGTAAGGTTTGGACAACTTAAGACACTTCAGTTTCTAATAACAGATTTATTAATAGGTGCAAAGAAAATATTCTTAACTTTTAAATTTAAATGGTCTTTTCTGTTATGTGTTTCTATTTCAGAACTGCATCACAGCATTTTCTGCTGCATCGATACAGAACCATCCGTATCAATACATGTATCAGCAAAGAATGCATTACAATATATTGCTGTATTCATATTTTGAGCACAGCCCTATATAAAGCCTTGTTCCATGGGCCACTTTTACACTTTGAGCACCTTCCTTGGAGCCCTGGAAAACAGACCATCAAGATCTTGTTTTACATGTAAATTATGAGACGAGCAGCTTAGACGGCTCAACAACAGACTTATTATAAACTAAGAAGTCCATCCATCCAAAGTTTCCTCTTCAGACTGATGAAGGTGATGCTTTTGTCTGGAGAGGCTTCAGACAGATCACCAGCTACAAACCTAAATCCCCCCACACCATGACCGACTCACACCTTGCCAATGAGTTGAACCAGTTTTAGTCGCTTTGAAAGACAATGGGACAGACCTGACACTGTCCCCCGTCAGACTACTGATCGGCCACAGTCCACCATCTCATCTCCCACCTCCTCCCCCTCTCTTACCATCCTGGAGAGGGACGTCAACAGACTGGAGGCAGAAACCTTGCAAAGCAGCTGGCCCGGACTCTGTCTTCCCATCCACCCTGAAGCACTGTGCCAATCAGCAGTTTCCGGTGTTCACAGCCATTTTTAACACCTCACTGGAGACATGCCATGTGCCAGCCTACTTCAAAACCAACACCATCAACTTTGTCCCCAAAAAAAAACCAAGGACCACAGGACTAAACAACTACAGACCCGTCGGGGCTCCTGCCAGTCAAGGGCCCTTGGAATTGTCTTAACTTTTCTACCCCTACACGGTGCCCCTGTTCCCAGGAACCTACGCCAGGATCCTGTTTGTGGATTTAAGCTCTGCTTTCAACACCATCATCCCGGCTCTGCTGCAGGACAAGCTCTCCCAGCTGAGTGTGCCTGACTCCACCTGCAGGTGGATCATAGACTTCCTGATGGACAGGAAGCAGTACATGAAGCTAGGAAAACATGTCTCTGACTCCAGGACCATCAGCACTGGTTCCCCTCAAGGCTGCATTCTTTCCCCTCCGCTCTTATCCCTTTATACCAACAGCTGCACCTCCAGTCACCAGTCTGTCAAGCTCCTGAAGTTTGCGGATGACACAACCCTCTTTGGGTTCATCTCTGGTGGGGATGACTCTGCCTACAGGTTGGAGTTGCTACATCACAGCAACCCAACCTGCTAGCACATCGACTAATGTGTACAGCGGCAGTTAGCCAGTCGACATGCACACAGTCACTGACTTAGGTTTAAGCACAAGCCCCTGTGATGGTTATGGTAAGGATAAGGGGTTTCGGGGGCTGTCAATGCCTTTAACACAAATGGTCCACCTGCAGGTGGAGTCACTTCCAGTCTGATGCATCCGAGGCGTCTCAAATAGACGTCACTATGCTTTGTCACCCTTTCTGAAAGTGTTGCCCTGAGAAGAGAATGGTCTGGACTATAGGACTTATCTTATTCCATATAAATTCCCTGAAGAGTGATGTCATTTTCTTAAGCATTCCCATAGGTGGTGCGAGAGGGATATTTTGAAATAAGTTTGAAATAATTTTGAACATGACTTTAGGCAAAATGTTCATCTTTAATATATTTATTTAAGAAACCAGTTTGAGATTATTTGAGCTTTGTGACATGGTGCATTATCCTGCTGGAAGTAGCCATCATAAGTCTGAAATGTTGATACAAGGCAGGATGGATTTATGCTTTCATGTTGTTTCTGCCAAATTCTGACCCTACCATCTGAATGTCGCAGCTCCAGTTTTTGTGAGTCTGTGTGAATTGTAGCCTCAGTTTCCTGTTCTTAGCTGACAGGAGTGGCACCCGGTGTGGTCTTCTGCTGCTGTAGCCTTTCTGCTTCAAGGTTCAACGTGTTGTGTGTTCAGAGATGGTCTTCTGCAGACCTTGGTATTGTAATGAGTTGTTATTTGAGTTACTGTTGCCTTTCTGTCACCTCAAACCAGTCTGCCCATTCTCCTCCGACCTTTGACATCAACAAGGCATTTTTGTCCACACAACTGCCGCTCACTAGATGTTTTCTCTTTTTCGGACCATTCTCTGTTAAGCCTAGACATGGTTGTGCATACAGTAATCTGTAGAGTCTACCAGAGAGGAGAAGGTGGAACAGGTTGTGTCAAGGGGTTATAGGTCTGCAGTGATGTTTCCTGCCCGTCTCCTGACTCTGGACATGTTTGAGTCATGGATGGAGGGCAGGTTGACACTAGTGATTCTCTCTGGAGTCTTGACTGTTCGCTGTATTCTGTTCCTGTCCTGTTTGGTTGCAGATTCAAACCGGACAGTCATGGAGAGAAAAGAGGCCTTTTTGACGGTGGAATCAATGTTGGGCTCCCACTCTCGGTCTTTGGAGAATGTGGTTCCCAGAAACCTGACGGTTTCCACACCAGACACAGTGTTGTTGAGTCTGATGATGAGGAGCAGAGTTGGGTGGCTCCTCCCAAAGTTCAGTGTCATCTGCACAGTTTTGAGAGTTAAGATCCAAATTGTTCTGACCGCACCGGAATCTGTACGACCATTTATTTCCACCATGACCAACTAAAACATCAGTATGCTGGTCACATGTTGATGGATGAGTAAAGTTAATCCAATAATTGAATAAACAGCCTGAAATAACATTCACAGGGGCCATTCTGCTGACCAACAGGTACTTTATGATTCAAGATAAAATAATGCTTTATTGATCCCCTGAGGGGATCAAAGACAGAAATCAGTACTGATAGATAGAGTAACTTACAAAATAAGCAATTAGAAGTATACAAAATAAGCAATAAAAATAAACTATACTAGAGCAATGAACCTAAAATTACAGGTAAAAGAAGTAGCTTTTCTGTTCAGAGCCCCTCAGCTCAGGAATCTGAGGCTGCAGAATCAGTGACACATTTTAAGTCACTTCCCAATACTTATCCTTAAAAAGCATTTTATTAATGCAACCCCCACTCTGTTTGGCGCTGTTGTTGTTCTTGATGGTGACGATGATGATGTTGGTAGTTGTGATAATGTTTCATGATGTTGCTAACCTTGGCTAACTATGTCGATATTTTTGATTTATTTTGATTTATTTCCATTTTTAAGAAATGGATGTCTGTGAAGTTTCTCTGGCATCCAGGTCTTAGTTATCCAAACAAGGTTTAAATCAAGGGCAACTGGATTTGATTGCCTTTGATTTCCAGTTGCCAGATCTTAATCTTCCTTGGTTAAGCAATTGACATTGTGGCAAGATTAGTAGCAGCAAGTCAGGAAGTATAACAGAACAGTAGAGTAAGATGATACCGTCAGATATAAAAGTGTATGATTATGTAATTATTATACTTAGAGTTGGGTATTTCTACCATTGTTAATTCTTAACAACGAGAGATGGGCCTTTAAATAAAAGTGTGGTTACTATTATTTTGAAAATCTGCAAAGGAGCAGTACCGGAAGCAGATGTATTTTCAGTGGCTAACATAACTTTTCCTTCACGTTACCGTGAGATGCAGCCGGAGTTCAGCAGCAGAGCCTGCATGTGAGGATCAACGTGTTTAAGTGGACTCTGTTTAAACTTTCGGGATGTTTCACCTCAGACTCATCTCCTGTTAGCCAAGAATGCTAAAGGAAGTTAGCTTGTTAGCAGGAAGTAGCCGGAGCCGGAGCTCGGCCTCACAGTCGGAGCAGCTTCCATAGAGACCAAACTGTATTTTTCACGGAGCCCAAATGTCCAAATAGAGCTGTCTGAATAGACTCTGTGCTGTTCCCTTTATCTGAACATGTTTAACATCTGAATTATCTCCCGCTGTCCTACGAAGCTAATGCAGTTAGCTTAGCTTGCTAGCTGGAAACAGTCTGGAGGAAAAGCTGCTGTGAATCAGTAAAAATGTCTAAAGTGGAGAACGAGGAGGAACTTTGTGGACAACGCAAACTACTGGACGCTGTTTTCAAGCCTGAAGCAGGTTTGTGCACTTTACTGCTTATTCTCACTGTAAACTGCTGGAAACCAGCTGCCACTAAAAGTGAACAAGTTATGAAGCAGTCAAAAGAACTAATTTCATACAACATGTATAAGAAGGAAATCATGCAGGTAAAAATGTGAATCTGAGACATAGACATTAAATATAATATCTAAAAATAATACTCTGGTGGACCGGTGTACAGTAGGGCTGCACCTAACGATTATTTTTTGATTAGTCAATTAATCTTATTATTATTTTATTTTTTTGCGATTATTCTTAAGTGTTTTTTTAAATTAATATAACAATGAATTTATCCAAAATAAATATTAAAAAACTTGTCTCAGTAATAATTCATGACTTTATTCAGTCGTCATCCTGAAAAAGAGACACATAAAGCACATTAGAAGTTAAAATTAGCGTAATTTCCATGTCACTGTTGTGATATTAATAATAATAATAACAGATCAAATTTGTCAGATACCTGATCAGAAATATGCTGGACCTTAAATTCAGAAGGATTGCTTTGACACAACTTTATTTATAATCTATATGTCAACCCTCTCCTGATCTTGAGAATCCGTATTTTTACTGAAATACTTGTCATGAAACTTAAAATGGTTATCACATGGATTTATTTACTTACTGAGTAATCCAGCAAGTAAATAATTGTGTCTCACTTCAGGGGCCACATCTTTCAAGTACATATTATTTATCAATGCATGTCTTGTTTAGACCGCAAAGGCTGAATTGAGTGTTGTTAAATGAGATGGTCGGGTCTGCGGAGGATTTCCTTTTAGCGTCAGCGCTGCTCCTGTCACCTTGACAGCTGCAGTTGACAATTGGAAAACAGCTGTCTCAGTAGAAATGCACTCAGAAATGTTAATATACACTGTCATCTGGGATAAGTTGATATTACTTTAAAATTTTGACGAATTGGCTTTAAAAAAGAAGTGTGTAATAAAAACTTGAGTGAATTAAATTTTAATATACGAATGTGCAGCTGAAATGCAATGTTGACAGAGCAACTGTCAACTTGCCCGAGTTACATTTTTACTGGCCCCGGACCATCGGGCCATTGATTATGTCGAACCCTGATACTTGTCATTTTAGTCCCCATCTTCTTTTGTTTTGTTAGAAAAAAGCATTTCTCTCTGAGAGACTGCAGGTTTTTTTTTTTATTTAATCTAATTTATTTTTGTGGCTAATAAATAATGTAGTTTTAAACTATGTTCCTCTTGGTCGGTGTCAAGTGTTTCTTTTAACTGCGAGGTGTCCACACTTGACAAGGACCAGACTTCGGATTTCACTCAGAATAATTTATTTGAATAATTGAACAGGAGTTGAACAGTATAGGTGAAAAACCTTTAAACACAGAAATAAAAAGCATTTTGAATAAACAGGTATTTCCACAGTAAACACAAGTCAAGGTAAATATTTCAAAAACGGTAAGTATATTTAAATTCAATATTATTCTTCACATTTCACCAAACTAATTATGCATTTTAATTAATCTTTAACAAAACAATTTTGGCTTACTATTTAAGCATTCTTTTACACAAATTAGGTAGAAAACCCACACATTTTAACCATATATATCCATGCATTTGAACATAGTTTCTCCCTCTCTTCAACCATGCAGCGACAACTTTAACACACCCATATTAACACCTAAACAGAAAAGATTTAACACACATTCAAGTGAGCTTACCGATAGCCCGTCAAAATCAAAAGTCTCATTCCCCGCAGTGGATGTGTGCTGCTCATTCCGTCGTGTCAGTCCATTTCCACCAGCCAAATGACTGCGTTATATGCCCCCGCTGATTGAAGTGTGTGCGAGCTTCTGATTGCTCAATCTAATTCACCTGGTCGAGGGTGCGCCAGGGCGCGCACGCACGGTCACACGCGGCTGCCGATGCAGAGCGGGGCGGCACGCAGGTGAGACGGCATGCAAGAGGAGGCGGGCACACGGGAGACAGGCGCACCTCTGCCAGATCAGCGCGACAGTCGGTCAGACATTAACTCTCACAGAGTATCATTAGTTGACTACACAAGCGTTAGCCCCATAACATTTTAAAGGTGTGAATACAGCTCTTCCATGTAAAGTTAACTAATTAAAGGTATTACAGCCCTTTTTTTACTGGTGCACTATGACACCAATTATTTCCCATGGCTTACACCGTGCCACGGCAGTATGTTGCTGCATCAGACAACATGCAGCGCACCGCTGGGTGAGCATGCGTGCTCGCCACAGTGTAAGCTTAGTTTAATCCGTTGGCCAGCGCAGCACATGGTGGCTCACCATTGCAAAACATCCAGGTGTCAGTATAGAAAATATCAATACAAAATATAATATTGACAGATACTACTTCATTTACTTATCAAAAAATGTAAGTTTAGATGCAGGTCAAAAGCACATTCCCTAATTTCCAATCAATCAGTGGAGGTGCTTTCATGAAGACTCTCCTGGCTTCAGCCAATCGGTGTGTAGGCCTACGTAGTGGGGGCAGATGACAAGAACACTTCAAGTGGATTTTTCATCATTTTATGACATTTCTGCTCTGACAAAATGCAAACCACATGATACAATTGCAGCATCTTTTAGTTTGAATGACTTTTAAATATGTTGTACAAAATGTACATCATGTGTCCACACATTTAAGAAAGTAGTGGTTAACAGGAAGTTAGGTTTCTAAAACGTGTATGTATTTTATTATTATCCGCAGACGTCCAGCTGCTGTTGGTGAGTAAAGAAAAGGTTCACCCCGAGCAGCAGGATTGGAGCCCCAGTCTGGACCAGGAGGACCCACCAGAGACACCACACATTAAAGAGGAGTGGAGCCCCAGTCTGGACCAGGAGGACCCACCAGAGACACCACACATTAAAGAGGAGTGGAGCCCCCGTCTGGACCAGGAGGACCCACCAGAGACACCACACATTAAAGAGGAACAGGAGGAACTCTGGACCTGTCAGGAGGGAGAGCTGGAGGAGGCTGATCTCACCAAGTTCACATTCACTCCTGTCCCTGTGAAGAGTGAAGAAGACGATGAAGAGAAACCTCTGTCCTCACAGCTTCATCAAAGACTAACTGAACAGATGGAAACAGAAACTGATGGAGAGGACTGTGGAGGACCAGAACCAGCCAGAAACTCAGATCCAGATAGACATTTACAACCAGATACTGATGAAAAGACGTCAGACTCCTCTGAACCTGAGACTGATGACAGTTGTGATTGGGAGGAGACCAGGGAACCTCAGTCAGTTTCAAATCCTCTGCAAAATAACAGTGGATGTATCACTGATGAGAAACAGTGTTGCTGCCCTGAGTGTGGTAAACTCTTCAGCCAAAACTCAAATCTGAAGCGACACATGAGAATTCACACAGGTGAGAAGCCCTTCAGTTGCTCAGTTTGCAGTAAAAGATTTATGCAAAAGGTTTATCTGACACACCATATGACACTCCACACTGGGAAGAAACGATACAGCTGCAGTGTTTGTGACCGAGGATTCACTTGGCCTTATCAGCTTAAAAACCATCAGTGTGTTGGTCGTCAGTCCTCACAGCTTCATCAAAGAATAACTGAAGAGAAAACAGATGGAGAGCATTTTAAAACAGACGGTTATGTAGAGGACTGTGGAGGACCAGGACCAGCCAGGGACTCAGATCCAGATAGACATTTACAACCAGATACTGATGAAAAGAGTTCACACCCCTCTGAACCTGAGACTGATGTCAATTGTGATTGGCAGAAGACCCGGGAACCTCAGTCAGGTTCAAACCCTCTGAAAAATAACAGATATAATACTGATGAGAAATTATTCAGCTGCTCTGAGTGTGGTAAACGATTCAGCCAAAACGCATATCTGAAGAGACACGTGAGAATCCACACAGGGGAGAAGGCCTTCAGTTGTTCAATTTGCAGTAAAAAATTTTTGCAAAAGGTTTATCTGACACACCACATGGCGCGACACACGGCGCAGAAACGATACAGCTGCAGTGTTTGTGGCAGAGGATTCACTTGGCTTTATCAGCTCAAAAACCATCGGTGTGGTGGTCCTCAGTCCTCACAGCTTCATCAAAGTCTAACTGAACAGATGCAAACAGAACCTGAGACTGATGTCAGTTGTCATGGGAGGAAACCAGGAAACCTCAGTCAGGTTCAGACCCTCTGAAAAACAATGAAGTCCCTGTAAGTGTTCAGGAATGTAATTATGGGAAAACATCAAGTAGCTCCTTTGCATGTTCTACAAGCTTGAGCCCAGGGAACATCTGCAAGAAGACAATGGAATACAAACGGGAGAGAAGCCCTTCAGTTGTTCAGTTTGTGGTAAAAGATACCTCTGGAAGAGCTCCTTAACGACTCATATGAGAATTCATTCAAAAGGAAAACATTTCAGCTGCTCAGTTTGTAGAAAAAACTTTCAAGGGAGAGTAGAAGTTGTAAATCATATGAGAATCCACACAGGGCAGAAACCCTTCAGTTGCTCAATTTGTAAAAAAACGTTTCCATGGAGAGGCCGTGTTTTGATGCACATGAGAATCCACACAGGGGAGAAACCCTTCAGTTGTTCTATCTGTGGTTTAAGGGTCAACCAGAGCTCAACTTTGACCACACACTTAAGAGTTCATACAGGAGAAAAACCTTTCACATGCTCAGTTTGTAAAGCCAGTTTCAGTCGCAGAAACAATTTGTCCAGACACTTGAGAATGCATACTGGGGAGAAGCCATTTAGTTGTTCAGCTTGTGGTAAAGGATTTCTAGATAGGGGAGCTCTGAGACGACACTTGAGCATCCACACAGGGAAGAAACCCTTCACTTGTTCTGTCTGTGGTAGACAATTCACACGAAAGACACATCTAAGACGACACTCTTCTGTCCACACAGGTGAGAAACCCTTTAGCTGCTCTGTCTGTGGTAGAAGATTCGCAGAAAATTCAAGTTTGAT